AGGGTTTTTAACATTTTTTTTTTATAAAGTTGCCAGTCACCGCCAGCATTTATCAGCATTTTGTTCTTGCATTCTTTTTTTTATCAACACTTTTTTCATGAAAAAGCATCATTTTGAACAAAAGTTTAGATTTATATGCTGTTTAATGTTCGATGATGGCAGTGTTGGGGGTAACTCATTACAAGTATCGCGAGTTACGTAATCAGATTACTTTTTTTAAGTAACTAGTAAAGTTAAAAAATTACTTTTTAATTTACAAGAGAATATCAGAGTTACTTTTTCAAATAAGTAACGCAAGTTACTTTTTACTTTCCCTTCAGCCTGAGGCTTATTCATTTCACTTTTGGTGTGAAAAGGCTTTTATATTTGCCAAAAATATAACTTTTTATTTTAAAAACAAACAAGCAAGCCCTTTCCAGATTTAAAAAGTAACGCAAAAGTAACGTAACGCATTACTTTCCATAAAAAGTAACTAATAACGTAATTAGTTACTTTTTATGGAGTAATGTAATATTGTAATGCATTACTTTTAAAAGTAACTTTCCCCAACACTGATGATGGTGTTATTTTCCATATACGCAGTCGCTTGTTTCTGCTTCGCCGTGTTTTGTTGCAAGAGATCCAGCGCTCTTTCAGGAGATGCGCAACAGCGCCTCCTGCCGCATAACAGCGAAAACACGGAAAATTCCGTCAGTGCATGGCGGGGAAAGAGTTAACTCTAACTATTTTGTGTGTTTTAACACTGGACTGACCAATCAGCATCCAGAGCCACGACTAACTGTTTTATAGAGTGAATCTGTTGAAGGAGCCTCAGCACGTGCAGCTCGTGTTTCTTTCAGCTCCCGGCGGCTCCGGTGTGGGCGTGGTCAGGGCGACGGGCGACAGCTACTTCCTCTCTGCAGATGTGAGCGGGTTCGAGCCTCATGAAGTGGTGCTGCTGGTGTATAATCAGTGTGTGGCTATTCATGCAGAGAAGGTGTGTGTGTGTGATCTCATGAGATATATTTAGTACAGCACACTGACTGCTATTTTTGGAACATAGTATGGAGTATGTTCACTGTGCAGAATATATATGCATATGTGATATATATCATAAATATGTGTGTGTCATTGAGATACTATTGTAGCTTATTAATATTTTGTTTTCATTTTCTTTGTCATTTTAAAGTAATTTTGTTGTCTTTTGTATTTTTTATGACGTCTTATGTAGTTATTAATTTTGTTTTTATTATAATTTTAGTTATAGTAATTTTGTTGTGATTTTGTCATTTAACAAGTTTTTTTTAAATAAGTCTATATAGTGTTTATTCGTTTTTATTTCAGTTTTAGTTATTTTAGTACATCAAGTTAAACTAAATGAAAATGAGAAATGCAACAATATATTTTTATTTTATTTTACATATTATGATTTTCGTTTTACCCTGGTGTGATGTCCAGTAGAATTATGTATTTTTATTATATTATATGCATTTATTTATTTAGTTTTATTCTTTTTTTTTTTTTTTAAGAAATTTATACTTTATTCATCAAGTCTGCATTAAATTGATCAAAAGTGACAGTAAAGATATTTATAATGTTACAAACAATTTATATTTCAAAATGCGATTTCTATTTCAAAAATATTTTCAATATTCTAAATGCTGTTCTTTTGAACTTTCTATTAATCTCTGAATCCTGAAAAATAAAATGTATCACAGTTTCCTCAAAAATATTCTCCTATTTTAAATAGTAAAAATGGTTTTACAGCTATTTTGAATTGTACTAATAGTTCACAGTTTTTTACAGTATTTTTGATCAACTGAATGCAGCCTCGCTGAGCAGAAAAGACTTCTTTCAGAACGTTTAAAAAACCCAAACTTCTGAATGCTAGTAAAGAGAGTTCAGTCCAAACGCACTCGTTCTCAGTTGTTTCTGTTGTTTCGGTCTCTGGTTTAGATGGCAGCAGATGGGAGTGTTGCGGGACGCTTTACCCATAAGTCTGTGCTGCCGGCAGACATGGACCCGTTATCTGTGAGCAGCTCGCTGACCGCTGAGAGGAGACTGATCATCAGCGTCGGTCGCAGCAAATCCCCTGTGACCTCTGACCTCTGACCTCAACACTACAGTCGTTATTGATGTTTTTTAATCTTTTTTTGATTTCAATTTCTGATATTTCTTTATCTCATCTCACTTTATTTTCTGTATTGTATATTTCAGTACTGTAAACAATACGGTCATGCCAGTGAAGTTGACGGAGTCTGACTCTCGATGCAGGAGAATATGATATTTGCATTGCGATAAATACACACTACAAAAATGATTTTCTTGAACATGAATGCTTATTGATGAACCATTGCAGCATGAAAAACTGATCACATTTTTCATCTGAAAGTGAGTTTATGCAATTAAAATCAATTTATTTAAAAAAAACTTCTAAGTGATCTTTGTTCCTTTGTTCTAAATAAATGTGGTTTCATAAATTTGATCAATCAAGAGTTATAAAGTCAAATTTAATCCAATGCCTTCATTCCAATGGGATTAATACTGGTACTTCTCAGATTATATGTTTGTATAAATTTCATATAATAAATTCAAATAAAATTTCACATCAATATTGAAAAAATATATTTAATTTTTGTAATTTTTTTTTTTTTTTGTGTGGTTCATAAGCAATTTGAAATTTCAAAGAATTTCTCAATTTTTATGAATAAAAATGGGGTAAATGCATAATTTTTATAAATACACACTGCAAAAAAAAGTATTTTTGTCTTGTTTTCTAGTACAAATATCTAAAAATTCTTAAATCAAGATACATTTAATTAAGACGCAAAATGACAAGATATGAAGTCTTTATTTATTTTTTGAGAACAAGACTTTTATTTTTCTTATGTTAATATATCTTAATTTAAGAATGTTTAGATATTTGTGAAATAAGACTTTATAGAGTTTTTAAGACTTTAATTAATGACTTGCGATATGAATTTTCTGAAAAATTAATCGAAAATTCAATGAGTTTTTGATTAAAACAAGAAAACAATATTTTCCTGTGCGGTCAGAAAAATTATTTAGTTTTCTCATTGAATTAAGATTATTTTTATGACCCCATTTACAGAGTTTTTCTTGTTTTAACAAGACTTTATATCTAGTTATTTTGCATCTAAAGCAAATCTATCTTGATTTTAAGAATGGTTATATATTTACGCTATTATTTAGTCAACTTGGATTGGATGTAAAACAAGTTTATGCAAGTAAAACAAATTTATTTTGTTTAAAAACTTTTTAGAGTGATATTTATGTTTTGTCAAAAATAAATATGTAGGTTTGGACTGTTTTTTAACAATCATGAGAATTAAATTACATCATATGGTAATTCTCAGATTATTAGTTCTTATAAATTTCCTACAATGATATTTCTCATCAATATCGATTAAAAAAAAACATCTATATATTGCATCAGTTTTTTTTTTGGTGTGGTTCGTGTAATTTAAAATCTTTTTTTGAATTTCTCTTTTAATTAATAAAAACGCAGTAATAACATGGTAACGTTATTAATGTCATTAATGAGAAGCTGTTGATCGGATACAATATTTAAAAACAAGTTTTGAAAAATTCTAAAAATAAAAAAAAAATTGAGAAAAATAATCTTGTTTTCCCCTTGAAATATTATTTTTTTTTTCTTGTTTGAAGCAAAAATTCTATTTGGATTTTTTTTTTCTTCAGAAAACAAGACTTAATATCTTCTGCCATTTTGGTTCTTAAGTAAATGTTTCTTGATTTAGGAATGTTTAGATATTTATACTGGAAAACGAAAAAAAAAAACACTGAGAAAGATGATAATTTTTGGCAGCGAAACCATCAGCAGATCATCAATACCTTTAGAAAAATATGGTCATCTCCACATAAAGTCATAGTTTTAATTCTGGTTACAAACACACACACACACACACACATGTTATTGCACAAATACATTATCTTCCAATGACTCAAAATAACAATAATATCCAAAATAAAATCTACTTTGTTGATCACATGTAAGATTGTTAATAAATATGATTCTCAGAGCAACATATTCTAATACATGAAATGAAATGGACCACAACATATTTAATAAAGCAAGCATGATTTTGCTCTTTTGGTCCGTTCAGAGTGTATCTTACAGTATTAAAGTCATTTCAGAGATGATACTGGCACCATTTTTGGACACAAAACACAAACCATTCTCTGAGATGCAATTAAAACGTTCCCACAACGTTCGGTCAACGTTTCAAGACGAGAGAAGAAAAAAACTTCACATACTCCTAAAAAGAGATATTGCCTGAAGAAGTCAAAAATGACTTGGAAGTACAAAAACAAGAACAAATAAATGGCAAAAAGAAGAAAACATTTAAGTTAATATGATATTTTAAATACATTAAAATCTGTAAATCTACATGAATCAACAAAAATAAGCCTCTTCTCCACATTTGCAGATGAATCTCACAAAACCTGTCAAAAACATGTCATATTATACCAATAATAATATTTAGCCTCAAGAAAATGCATACTACATGTAGGACTATTAGGAGTTTTTACATTTAAAAAAACATTGATATACTTAAGTATTTGTATTTAATTTAAGTATTTATAATTAAGTATTTTTAAATTTTGAAATATTTTTCTTTTTGCAATTTTCATTATTCTCAATGATGAATATCATTTCAATTCTAATTACAAAACAAACATATTCAAAGTATATAAAAATAGTACAAATACTATGGTGTTTAAATATTTTTTTTCAATGAAAATTGAAATTAAAAATCATAATGATCATAAGAGAGATAAGAAGTTACATTTTGACTAAAGAAAATGTATCTTACTTTTAGAGCCGTTGAGATTTTTTTACATTAAACATAATATTTATATACTTAAGTACTTATACAACATAGTTGTTTTTGTTATTTTGATCTACTTTGAAAAGAATGAAAAATACAACAACAAAAAGCAATGATTTTCATGTAAATTCTCATAAAAAAAAACAAAGAGGCAAAAATTGGAAATGAAAATTTAAATGAAAATTCATTATATTTCGGCTAAATATATATTTAAATAATTTAAACTTACGTAGTAGTTGTATTTGTTATTTTTTATATATTTTTTCCATTATTCTAAGTGTTTTTTTTTTTCATTTAAATTTTCATTAAAAATAATACAATGGTGTTTAAATATTCTTTTTTTTTTTCGATAAGAATTTAAATGAAATTCATAATAATCAAAATGTTTTTATTTAAATCAAAAGTAACAAAAAAAAATTATATTTAGGGTGAAGAAAATGCATCCCACTTTTAGGATCAGACTTTTTGTATTAAATTTATATTGATAAACTTAAATTATTTATATACAATAGTTGGAGGTTGTTTTTGTATTTTTCATTATTCTCAATTATGATTTTCATTTATATTTTTAATTAAAAAAAAAGTACATCAAAGTACAAATACTATTATGGTGTTTAATTGCTTGTTTTTTTTTAAATGATAATTTAAAAAGGAATAACAAAAATTGCTGAAAATATTAAAAAAATACATATGATATATACATAGAATATACATAGGTAAAACATTAAGACACATTATTGTAATATGAATTTAGAGAAAAATATGAAATTTGAGAAAAAAATTTATTTCACAATGCAAAAAAAAACAAATATTAAATGTTCAAATGGCTCAAAATGAATATGACCTGGATGAGTTCCTGACAAGTTTTGTGAAATTCATCATCGGTCATCATAGACATTTTTAAAAACACAAAGGTCCTGCCAAAGATCCAACAACAGAGAGAAAGAAAGAGACAGAATGTGTCGGATGTGTGTGTTTTCCTGCAGCTTTACGCTCAAGTGCTAAACCGATCAAAAAGAGCATCATGTTCTCCTGGATCAGTGGAAACAGTGGGAAGGACTGACCTTTGATTTCCCAAAATATCAAAAACGAGTGGTTACTTCAAAGCAAGCTTGTTTAAATTCTCCAAAACCTCACCATTCGTTTGTTCAGAATTTGACTGTCACTTCAAATGTTGTTGTGCTGAAAGGTGACTGTGATTGATTTCATCTAAACGTCCTCAGTGCAAACAAATCGTTCAAAAAGGCACGTTAGTGTCATGTCCAATAGAGAAAGCAATACAAAGTGCACATCCTTGCATAAGAGACTGCGTGGGCGAGATTGGCTTCGTCTGACATTGACCAGATAACATTCGAGGGGTTTGGCTTCAAACGGCGACTGAATCTCGTGCTGGAGATTCAGCAAGAGTAAAAAAAACTCTGAAAGAGTTTAGAAAAACATACTGCGGTGAAAAGAAAATCACTCCGTCTCATTCTATCCATCGCTCTGTTCTCTCTGCCACCTACTGCGTCCGCCTACAGATCCGCTTTATATAGAGGAAAATCTGATGCCCACACAGACCAAGAGCTCTGAAATGGGGAATGAAGGGTAACGTCTTAAAGGTAAAGAACTGTGAGGGGGAAACCAGAATTGCGAGAAATAGTCAGAATTGTAAGAAAAACAAATAATTGCAAGAAAAGTCATAATTGCGAGAAAAGTCAATTGCAAGAAAAAAATTAATAATTGCAAGAAGAAAAGTCATAATTGCAAAAAAAGCCAAGTGTGAGAAAAAAGTCATAATTGCAAGAAATGTCTTAATTGTGAGAAGTCATAATTGCGAAATAAAAGTCAATTGCGAAAAGTCATAATTCTGAGAAAAAAAGTCATAATTGTGAAAAAAAGCCAAGTGGGAGAAAAAAGTCATAATTGCGAGAAGTCGTCATAATTGTGAGGTCATAATTGCGAAAAAAAAAGTCAATTTCGAAAAAAGCCAAGTGTGCGAAAAAAAGTCATCATTTTGTGAAAAAAGACATAATTGTGAAAAAAAGCCAAGTGTGAAAAAAAAAGTCAATTGTGAAAAAAGTCATAATTGAGAGAAAAAAGTCATAATTGCGAAAAAAGCCAAGTGTGAGAAAAAAGTCATAATTGTAAGAAGAGAAGTCATAATTGCAAAAAAAGCCAAGTGTGAAAAAAATTATAATTGCAAGAAAAAAAGTCATAACTGTGAGAAGAAAAGTCATAATTATGAGAAGTCATAACTGC